ACAGAGGTATAAAATTCCAAACATAAAATTATCTTCCCCATGTTAATTAAATGGGAAACTAAAATAAAAACAGCGACCTCTGAGAGTTGAGCTGAAACGCCCATATTTGGTGAGGATTTTTTTTATATTAAATAGAAACATTTAAGAGGGTAAGAGCGAAAAATAAAAATTAAAAAAATATATAAATAATTTAGATTTACAACAATTCCTATAAATATAACAAAACAATAACAAAAGGTAACAACTTTAAATATAGTTTTAATTGAGTTAACAAACAAAAATTCTCCACATCAACTAAACAAACCACATATTAATTAAATAATCTAAAACACATAAATAAGCTTACCTATTTTCATAATGACAGTCCCTGTGTAAAAATAAAAATAAAAATAATAGTAGCACCAACATATATACGGTCGATTTTTCGCAACCTTAATAGACGAATAAGCTGGCAATACATCGACCGACATCGACCGTATATATATAGGGTCCAACATATATGTTGGTGATACTATTAATTTTATTTTTATTTTTACACATGATCTATATACTTTCTTTATGAAAATAGGTAAGATTATTTATGTGTTTTAGATTATTAAATTAATACGTGGTTTATTTAGTTGATGTAGAGAATTTTTGTTTAAAACTATATTTAAAGGGTTCTAGTTGTTACCTTTTGTTATTGTTTTGTTATATTTATAGGAATTGATCTAAATCTAAATTATTTATATATGTATATTAGACTGGGCCAAAAAAATCGACTATTTTTTTTCGTAAAGTATATCGAAAATATTGTTTGGGGTGACAAAAAAAATTATGGTGAAATTGAGTTCATAATATTAATATTAAGAGGTCCATCATCGCAATTTAAGATTTTTTTTTCCTGGGCTAGTTTTTGTCTCAGAACTCCCAAACCAATGAGTTAAACAAAATTGTCTTAAGAATATTTTTTGAAGAAAATTGAATGCTCTACAAAAAAGGTTAAATTGGAATTTCCTGTCAGATGAACCGTTTTCTTACAATCATGCCTTGAAAATTGGTATAGTTTTACAATTTGATCTTTTAACTTTAAAATTTTGTAATTCATGTAAAAATCAATACCCGGAAAAAAAACCGATAGATATTCTTATAGGAAATCAAATGCTCTACAAAAAACATTTTTGGCTTAATTCACTCCATCAAAAGTTATTCAAGGTTAAATTTGAAGTCAAAACGATATTATTGTTTTTCCGCTCTAGATTTTTTTTGCATCAGTTAAAAACTTGGATTCTTTTATCGATGATAATCTTTATGTTATTGATAAAATTACTGAAAATTAAAAAAAAAATAACACAATAATTTTTTCGCTTTAAGAAGCTATTTTCTTTGGAAAATATTTTTTTCACTGTTACCTATTTAATCGTTTAAATAATAACAATCTGTTGTTTTTTTTATTAAAAATTGTTAATTAGTTATATAATACACATTTATTAAGAAAAAAAATCAAATTATAAAATATAACTTGATTGAGTGAATTTAGCCAAAAATGTTAAGAGTCTTTTTTTGTGAAGCATTTAATTTCCTATAAGAATATTTATCGGTTTTTTATGGGTACTAATTTTTAAATGAATTACAAAATTCCAAAGTCAAAGATCAAAATGTAAAACTATACCGATTTTTAAGGCATTATTTTAAGGAAACGGTTATCTGACGGAAAATTTATTTTAACCTTTTTTGTAGAGCATTTAATTTTGTAAGTCAATTTTGTTAAACTCAATGGTTTGGGAATTTCGAGACAAAAACTTGCCGAGGAAAAAAAATTAAATTAAGTCAGTTTTATTATAATGCAAAGAAAAAATAATTAAAACTCAGTGTTCCTATTATATCACTTCTTATTTTTCCATCATCCTCTTTTAAGTGAAAATTTTTAAACTCGATTGGGAACCTTTTAAAATTTTAACTGAATTGTTATTCAGGCATAATCTACACTTGATAAAATCATATTACATGAGACAGAGGGCCGTCTCTGATTTTAAAAAATTTAAAAAAATGTAAACCTTGAAGTATGCCTCATAAAATCTGTCAAATAAAAAATTGGTGTATTTAGTTTATTTTGGAAAGAGTGGTGGTACCTCTCATATACCCAACCGCAGGCAAAGTACATTTTGTAATAGCTGAAAAGACAAGGCACATACATCGAAATGCAGTTGTTGTTGTAGTAAAGGGAGGAAGTGGGAGCTGAAAATTTAATCGGACGGCCGGCCAGCGAACATGGGGGTGATGAAAGCTGGTTGTCAAGTGCTAGCCGATGCGTATGTGGAAACCCGTGTAGATAACTAATGGAATTTGGATTTCGTGCCAGTTTAAACAGATCGCCAAATAAATATATATCAGTTATCTACGTCGGGCCGATATGCGATCATCGCTAATTAAATGAATTATACATACACCGAAAGATCGATTTTGGGATTATTTACGCTGTTATTTGTGAATTTATAAGCCACACTTTAAATGAAAACTTTTATTAACGCGTTAAATTTGATTTATCAGTTTTCAATTATATTAAAAAATACTTATTTATGGTACTAGAGTGTTATGTTGAAAATAAGTCACGCGAGAAAGATTTATATAAATTCTCAAGTGACTTGAGAAACACAACACATGAGAGGCATACAATGTTTTATCCAACAAGTGGAAGAAATCGTTTCTTTATGAGATTAGGTTGTTTGTTTGGTTGCCACGGGCATGATACATTGTTAGCAAATGTTTAAATAAATTTTGAAACTTGTCAGTTTTCCCTGCAGAAAAGGGAAGCTTTTTTAAAGAAAAAAACGTATAGATAATGGAGGAAACCGATGAAAATTACGTTCCTGAGGATATCCTTACGGAAGCGGAAGAAGCAGCAATGCAGATTTTGCCAGAAAAGTCCCGAGATGCTTACGACAAGGAGTTCAAAATGTTTGAGGCTTGGATGAATTCACGGAAGATAAAAGGTATCGATAAAAATTTTCTATTGGCTTATTATTTATATTTTCAAAAAAATTAGCCCCATCGTCGATATGGACCAAATACTCGATGCTTCGCTCGACTATTCACCTTCATAAAAAAATCGACATTTCAAAATATGGCAAACTAACGAGCTTTTTGAAAAGCAAATCACAGGAATACAAACCAAAGAAGTCCAAGACATTAGAACGACCTGAAATAGAGAAATTTTTGAACGAAGCTCCCGACGACGAGTACCTGTTGATGAAAGTGGCTTTGATAATGGGGATTAGCGGTGCTTGTGGATGCGATGAATTGGTCAATTTGAAAATAGAAAATATTCAAGACAAAGGAAATATTTTCACGTAGTTTTGCCAGACACTAAAACCAAGAAATTGAGAAGTTTCTCCATACTTGAAGAAGGATTTCCAGTCAACCCGATCAATTTGTGTAAAAAATACATGTCTTTGAGACAAAAGAATACTAGTTCTGGCCGCTTTTTTATTTTTTTACAAAAATGGGAGGTGTACCAGCCAGTGTGTGGGAATAAATACGTTGTCGAAGAATTGCAATGTTTTTGAAATTGGAGGAACCAGCGCTCTACATCGGTCACTGCCTGAGAAGGTCTTAGGCGACTCTTTTGGCCAATGCAGGGGCTAACATGACTACTTTGAAGCGTCGCGGAGGATGGAAGTCCTCGACGGTAGCAAAAGGATACCTAGAAGAATCGGTGCATAACGAAATACAAATTGCAGAAAAAATACAAGGTTCCAATGCCTCGGCGTCTTCCAGCACTATGAGCAGCTGTACCGATATGGGAGCGTCTGGTTCCAATGAACCAACGAATTTTACAATGACTTCAAATTCGAATAAACCGTTAGAGTTTTCCTTTAATTTCAATATCAATGTGAATTCTGCTTGTAATAGTAATAAATAAATAGAATACCACTTTAAATATGAATGTAAGTTATATTCCATAACTCACTAGTGAACTATGGATTATAACACACTAGTGTGTTACTTGATAAATTACTTTTCTAAAATGACTTTAATTAATGACTGTCATGTGTTGGATAAAAACTATAATTGCAGGGACACCCTGTATAGATGTATTTTCCCATTGAAATGCAAGGTTAATATTAATATTAAGAACTGAAACTTGGCAAGGATTTTTTGGCAGGGATTTATTGATTTGTACAACATAAACCAAAACAACAAGAACAAAGTTCATGTAAAGCTTAAGATTACGTCCATATTTCTTTGTGAAAATATATTCAAGTAATTTAGAAGTTACAATCAGTGGTTTACTTATAATATTATAAGTTATACCTAACTAGTTTAACTTCTAAAAGCGGATGCCCCAGCAAAACTGAATTAAAATAATTATGTTATTTAAAAAATGTAAATTTTCATTTAAAGTGTGCACAAACATGTTTTTATTTTAGTCGGGATGGTTTAATGTAGTGGTGAATGTTCGTTTAAAGCTGCGTAGTTTAAATGTTTATTAATTGCTTTAATTATAATGTAGACATGTTGATATGTACTCAACTTTTGAAAAACTTCACATACAAAACTTGAATACTCCAAATAAACAGTTTACTTTTTCAAAGGTCGAATTATATTCGCTCTGCTTTCTATAAATACCAACACGTTACCTCTACCATCAAAATCGATGATGCTCATATGTCGATAGAAAGATTTCTATTTAAAAGCCTTTCTTCAAAACAACTTTTAGAACTTGTTTAAAGTTTAATACAATAGTATTAAATGTTGCTACAATGTCACACTAAGTTGGTTTCAAAGCGAACGAAAATACTCTTCAAATACATATCAACATTTGTGCTAAATGAAAGGGAATTATTTCTTTCATAGATAGGTTATTATAAGGTCCAAAACCAAAAGATATTATGTGAATTATAAAAAACACAGAGCAGCAAAGGGACCTTTGTACAAAAATACCTAAATATGGATAAAAATATTCCATTTTAATCTATACGAAAGAGTGATGTGAGGCAAACAAAATATCTTCTACTTACGAACTTTCTGACGGGATAACTTGCTCTCCTATAAGCCTTTCGGCGGAAGGTGGGGGAGGGTAAGGCTGCACCAAAGGCTGCGAATAGTAACTGTTACTTAGTAACTCCTCCCCACTTCCGTCCAGCACCTGGTACGGGCACTGGATGCCAGTGAAGCAGGGCTTTGTGGCTGTGGGCTTCACCCTTTGATCGCAGAGGCTGCTGGTCTCCTCATTGTGGTCCCTGCACTCCACAACGCGAACTTGGACGCCTTCCCCACAGGAAACTGAGCACTGCAAACAACGTCTTATGTGAAAAATTGTGTACAGAAAATGGATGTTGTGTAAAGGATTTTTTTCGTGGTAGGCAAAATTAAAGACCCTTCTCTAGGCAAGATCATTGAAATATTCATTCAAATTCAAAATTAAATGAAAACTAAATGGCCAAATGTAAACATAATACAGTAATCGTCAAAAGTATGGAACCGTAGCACAAATAATAGGATGAGTTTTGTTGTGTCAGAACATTATTAAAAACTATAAATTTTCCACTATGATAGTTCAATTTACTAACATTGAGTACGCCCACCTATATTACCTAATTTTGGGCTGCTGATTTCAAAAATGCCACTCGTTTTGCTCCAGAATGTCTAGGATTCGAAATTATTGCGTAATAAAATGATCTGCACAATTATCTCAAAATGTAAGTTTTTGTTAATATTTTGATTATTTATTAAATTATTTTGCCTTAAATCTATTTTGGATCAGTATATTTTTGACGTTTTTGGTCAAAAATATACAGGGACATACAAAGTCATCGGTAGGTAAATGTTAAATAGACATTTTGTTTGTTCCATTGTAGTTCCGTATACTATAGTAGTATTTTATAAGGAATATTTAATAAAGCACTTTTCTGCAGAGAATTGCTTTATTAAATACCAAAACTAAAATTATAATGTTTTTTGGTAAAAAGTATCATTTTTTGAAATTTTTGTGTCGTTTTTTTAAATACTAATTAAATTAAAAAGGCGACAAAGTAAATGGGTTTCGATATAAACATTACTCTTCGACTATTATTTGATATGTTTTTGTTCACATCATGCCTAAAGTAGCCAAAAATTTAATCTCGAATCTTATTTATTAAGTCTTATCAACATTTAATATCGAATTGAAGTATAAAGGCGCCTTTATCTACTTTATCGTTCAAGCATCTATTAATTATTAACATTTAAAATTTAAACTTTAAATTGTATTTTTACTTGAAAGTGATTTTAAGAACCAAAAATGAAAAAAGAGCAGAAAATGGAAGTGGTAATGGAAGTGGCAGAAAAAGAGAAAGGAGAAACATTTATGTCGTCGTTGTAAATTTGTTTTGTTTTTGTTGCGGTACCTTTACGCCCAAGAAAACCAACGCAATATTTCATTACAAAATTTTATGACATATATCTACTACTTTAATTCTGCAGGAATATTAAATGGACCTGATACCTATACGACGTTTAATGAAAGATCAAGCATTCAAAAATGCTCTCAAAGTTGACGAGATTGTCGCATATGGAAGTGTTAAAGCTGTCATTGAAAATGTTCTTGGTTCATATCGGGCCTAAAATTGGCGCCAATTCATTGAAAAAATGCTCTCCGTTTTGTAAAGAATTAGCGTTAATATGTCATTTAAAATACATTTTCTTTTTTTTCATCCTGATAAATTTGCCAAACTGATGAACATGGAGAACGATTTCACCAACTAACTGCAAATCTAGAGCATTGGTATATATCTATGGGTATAGCGCAAAGAAGTTGGATTCATTTCTAGAAGACATTTGCTGGAATTTGCAGCAAAAGATGTACGACGATGATGAGGATTAAGCACAATAATACTATAATTCAATTCGATATTTGATACGATTTAATAAATTTAATGTAGAAAAAAGTAAAATTATGCAATGCATTAAATTTTGTGGGCTAAATTTGGATAAAAAATACCAAAACTTGTTTACTTTGAAAAAAAAGTTTCTAAAACTATCATAGTGGAATAATACTCTACGTAGAATTAATATTAAACAATTTTGGATAAAAATGTAAAACCAATGTGAATTTAAGATTATTTATTTTATTTAACTTCTGATCCAATTATTAAGAAATCCCTTTTGTCACAATTTGTTCTCGTTCTATTGTCCCATTAAAATTGATTATTTGCTTTACAGTTAAGAGCTACAAAAAGCAATTACGTTGTACTACAATTCTTTATAAGGACGGGGCTATGTTTTGAGATAAAATTGGTTTCCTTTAAAGGCAATAAACTAAGCATTAAATATAAATATTCTTCTACTTACTCCTGACCAGGATGACGTGTGCCACGAGGGACAGGCTTGTTCATTGCACATTTCCTCCTCCCAAGGCATTGGCGTGCCACATTTATTGTTTTTCACCTGCAAAGTAGATATTAGAATTAAATGCAATAAAATTTTTGGCAATCGCATTGTATGGCATTATAAATATAACTAACCAAAGTATAAACAATAAAATATTAATCCCCCTTGAGGTGTACCACATAAATTATGTTGTGTCTGTCTTTGATTTGATCCCATTGACCCAGTGCTCTAAACCCCGACTCATCAGCACAAATTGACAATTAGATTAAATATTAGTCGGGGGGAACAGGGCAATTTAAAAGATTGCTTCGATCGTGTGTGGACCTGCGCGGTAGCTCGAGTGGTAAATTTCAATAATTCCACTTCACGAATAAGTCGTCTATCGTGTCTGGAAAGTCCATAAAAACTCCAATAAACCACTATCGCTTTTCTTTAGTTCTATCGGAGGAATTTAAATGTTAGTTTTGGCTGTTATACATTCGAGTTCGGAACGGTAGGTTTAAGAATTTTGATTACGCGTGACTTTTTCTTTAAAATTGTTAATCTGATTTCTTAAATAGAATGTTGTTATTTTTTTTTGCTTTGTTCATAGTTTTACGTACAGGAAAATCATACCACCATTGCTTTAATAAGGTTGTCATGTCTTTCATAAATCCTCCTCTAACACTAAATGGTAGTTAAGTGAGCTTTACGTTGTTCTATAGACGAAGAGGTCGATAAAGCTTGTTATAATGTAAGCATTTTTAACCGTAGTACGAGGTGTGTTCAGAAAATAACGGGAATTGTTAAATTTCGCCGGTTGTCATAAAAAAATTTTTATTATGTTGGTATACATGCCCCGAAGTATGAAACTTTAGCTGTTTTCATTGTTTACTTTGTCTTTGGCAGCCGCTAAGGTTAGACGTGTTTTATGAGCTCGGCGATTTTTCGTTCGTTAAAAGAAATGGATGAAAGAATTTGTATCCAATTTTGCTTAAAAAATGAAAAAAATCTGTAAAATGTTAACAAAGGCCTATAGTAAGTCTGCTATAAGTAAAACAAGAGTTTATAAGTGGTATAAGAGTTTCCAAGATGGCCGTGAAGACGTTGAAGATGACGAACGCCCCGAACGCACAAGCACATTAACAACCGATAAAAACATGGAAATAGTGGAAGAAATGGTTATAAAGCATCAGAGAAGTTGCTGATGATGTTGGTATATCGATTGGCTCATCCCATGAAATTTTTTCGAATGTTTTGGGTATGAAACGCGTGACAGCAAAATTTGTTCTAAAATTGTTAAATTTCGAACAAAATTTTTGGCCAAAAACAATACTGTAATGATGCCCCAGCCTCCATATTCGCCAGACATGCCTCTGTCTGACTTTTTCCTTATCCCAAAAATAAAGATAACCTTAAAGGGCCGTCGTTTTGCAAGCATAGATGACATTAAAAGCGCATCGCTGAAAGAACTAAAGGCTATCCCAAAGATCGAGTTTTAGAAGTGTTTCGAGTATTGGAAGAAGAGCTGGCACATGTGCATAATATCGAATGGGGACTATTTTAAAGGCAACAACATTAATGTAGACGAATAAATAAATATTTGTTTCAAAAAACGAAAATTCCCGATATTTTCTGAACACACCTCGTAGTGTATTAATCGAAGTATTATTACGACGCCTTTTTTACTTTTCTATAAAAGTTGCCACTGCTTTTTACTTTGACCCACTCGTCGAATAATGATGACGTCTTGCATGTGCTAATTAGATTAACCTGAATACGACTCTACCTATAATAGCAGCGCGTGATGTCTTAATTTGATTTTAAATTTAAAATGCCTTTTAATATATTGCCATCGAGACAAACTGCTCTTAAGAAGCTAGCACACAGGAGTATAATAAATCAGATTAAAGTAGGTATAAGCTGTAAAAAGTTTTATTATTGTATTTTATTATTTAACAATATTTTAATTAAATCTAGCGTTGTTTTACATACATAAACTCAATTATACATATATAGTATCGGCTTTAAACAATTTTCAATTAAATTAAATTAACTATAAAACAAATATTTAAAGTTGTTTTAAATTAATCAAAATGTTATTTGTGAACTAAAATACATTTTCTGCATTACACTCGATCATACTCAAAATAACAACATAATAATGATTGTAAATTATATTATTTATGGTGGACGTTAAAAACACCCAAATTGCAGTGTCTAGACATATATGTACATGTCTGAGCATATGTATGATAAGTGGAAACTGCCTCAGGCAAGTGAATTCGATTTTGAAGGGTGAACTTCTTTCATGTGTGAAGGGTACATTTTTATGAAAGTAGAATTTTTAGAGTTGATAGATACATTCATTTTTAATATCCATCAATTTTTATTAAAACGCAGAGCTTTCAGAAAAAAGTATCTTAGTAACTTTAGAGTAACTTAGTTACTTTAAAGTATCTAAGTTACTGTAACTTAGTTCCTTTATTTTTTTAACAAAAAGTATCTAGTATCTTAGATACTTTTTAAAAGGAACTGTATCTTGTAACCGAAAAGTATCTTAGATACTGAAAAGTATCTTAGATACCGAAAAGTAACTTAGATACCAAAAAGGATCTAAGATACCAAAAAGTAACTAAGTTACCGCAAGAAAAGTTCCTTTAGACAAGTTACGATTTGTTCGAAATTGACACATTTTTACTTTACTTGAAAATATCATTGTCTATCTATCATTTCTAATTTAATAAAGATAAGAAATACATTACACCTGCCTAACCTAATACGTTACTCTCTAAAAATGAATTAGTCAAAAATAACTAATTTAATAATTATTAGTGGCTGCTTTTTCACTTGTACCATGGTAAACCATGGGATACCAAATAAAATTGATTTTTATAAGAGTGACTGATAGCCACATTCGTTATGACAACATCTTGACAAGCGACAGACCTGAGTTCAATCCCAGGCTGGGTCAAAACTTTTTTTTAATATAAATCTACTAGTTTTACTATTTCATTCTGACTAAATATTAGTGACTGCTTTTTTGCTACGACAATTAGTCAAATATGACTTATAATTAGTTATTTTTGACTTATTCATTTTAAGAGAGCATAATATACAAAGTAACTAAAAAAGTATCTTATTAATTATCTTAAAAAGTAACTTAAGATAAGCATTTAAGTTCCTTTTTTTTAAAGAGTAACTAGATACCCAAAGTAACTTCAGATACTTTTTCAAAAAGTAAATTTTTGCTTAAAAAGTGTCAAATTAACTTAACATATATTTTTATGTTATTTCAGTTTCAATTAATCATTAAAACTGTATGCACAAAATTGCAAATAAACTGGTTAACATTAAATTACCGTTTTTCATTAGTAGAAGAACAAATGTTTCGAGAGCATAAATAATCTGCAGATTTTGCAATAACTTAAAATGCAGTATTTTCAAACCATTTAAAAAATCCATACCCACTTTATTAATTAGGTAATTTAAAACTTGGTTTTGCAGATATATACAACAGCAATGTAAGGGGCGTATTTTTGGCATGTTGTATTTCTTTTTTTATTCTGTTTATCATGTCGGACCCAGCAGCAATTTAATAGCATTAAATGGAAATGAACGCTACGGAGTCTGCCCCATAAATATCGCTTATATCTCTTCTTAAAATAATGTCTTATTTAATGAAAAGCCCCAATTTAAAATGCGTTAGCAGTTTTTAAAATAAATTAACAGCAAATTTAATACATTCATTAATTTTAAAAATTTCTACATTTATTTAATATTTATTTATTAGGTATATAAAATTTAAAATGAATTTAAAGCAATCTTAAATTTTAAAATAAACAAGGTCCTTGATCTATTTACAACACTTTTGCGTTTTTTATGTATTTTAATAGGGTGGTAAAACTAAATAAAATTTCATCATAAAAACAAGTAAATGGCAAATGAAAAAGTATAACTTTTTTAACACGTCATTTATCAAATTTAATTTAATTTAGTTAATTTCCTATAATAATAATAATAGGTGGGGTTTGAACATCAAATGTCTCATTAAAAAAAATGTCAAATATAAATTATTAGTAATAATAATAAAACTAAGTTGTTTCTTCACAAAAGAAAGTCTTACTCGACAAATTTTGTTCGCAAAGTTTCAATTGCACAGCTAAATCACGCACGTCATATGTGTTCCTTATATAATTGAATAAGAAACTCAACGCTTATATGCTTATATAGTTACGTTAGTGTGTGTATTTTATCTAAGTGATCATGGTGTATTATTGTGTTTTTAATTGTAAATAAAATTCAAGAACTAAATCGTTGCATTTTCATGTTTTGCCAAAGGATCCAATTCAATACGTATATTTGTTGGTGCAAAATTAACTATCGATAACTTTTTACCTAATATAATTTGTATTTAAGTTTGGACAACAAAAAATAATAGTTGTACAAACATAACCTTAAAATCAAACATTTTTTATATGTGAGTTCTCTAAAAAAAGCCGACAACAGCATTTTAAAAAAGTAAACGACAAAATATATCTATAGATATACGAATTCATGGTAACATAATATTACATGTAATATGTTATATATAATACCCGTTTTTTGTTTTTTACCGTTGAATGAAGAATTTCTCGATCAACGCTTTTAATAATGCATAACGCTGTTTAAATTTAGACGACTTATTTAATTTATGATTTTTACTGAATTGAAATGTTTACAATTTTTACGTAAATTGCTATTAAAATGTTAATTTATTGTACCTAATAGTTACAATTTATATTATCAGGGACTGCATATTTCTTTATTCGGATTTTCACTGTTTATTGGAAAACTCAACTCAGGGTTTTCTCTCGTGAAATAGCACGGGACAAATCACAAACTGTTTTTATTAAAAAAATGCTAGGTAATTTATTATATAATATTTTGGCGACAAAATTGTCAAATATATTCTTCTTTTATTAGGCTAAGTATAAATTAAATAAAAAAACGCTAGAAATATTTTATTTCATAATTGACAGGTGTGGACCACACCTTATTAAAATTATCTCCACTTTTATAAAATATTTCTTGCGTTTTTTTAATTAATGTATAGCCTAATAAAAGAAGAATATTTTTGACAATTTTGATGCCAAAATATTATATAATAAATTATCTCCACTTTTTTTATAAAAACAGTTTTGTAATTCGTGCGTTTTGCGCTCCTGAAATGGCTCTGTAACAAAATTGTTAGAGACGTTGACATTGACATTACTTTATAAATACTAAATAAAAGACAATCAAATGCACACTACTGATATAACAAATAAAAAAATAAGCGTGTGGTAAGTGGTAAATCAGACATCTGTCAAAAAATTTGAAAAAAAAAATAAATATCTCAAAATAAACTCTCTAAACATGAAATAGTCAAAATTCTACTATTTGAATTAGTACCAGCATTTTTTACTAATAAAAGTAGTTTTCACTTTTAAATAGTTATTTTTTACCACGTTAATAGTTAAAGTTTGACTAATTTAAGATCAATGGTGACCTTTGACTATTTCTGAGAGTTAAAAGTAACTAATTTCTTTAATCAATTAATAATAATTATTAGTGACTGATTTTTCGTTCTGACAATTAGTTATTTTTGACTAATTCATTTTAATAGAGAAAAAATAATCAAATTTTAGTATTTCTAGAATTTGAAGTAGAATTTAAAAATGCAATATTATTTATAGTATTATTTGTAGTTTCATTTGAAAAACCAAAATTGATTTCTCTTCCGGTATAACCGGAAGTGATAACGCATGGAAAATAATTTAAAAAAATAGTAAAAATTGCCTTATAATTGCTACACAAATTTCAAATCAAAATCTTTTTCCATAAACTTCTAATGAATGAGTTAGATAAATCACCCTGTATATTAAAAAAATCCTAAAAATAGTATTTTTTATTTTTACTATTAAACTTTGAACTGCTCGATATATTTTGCAATGTACTTTTCTATATTATTAAACAAGGGACAAAGATAAAAAAGACGCAGAACGCTGTTTGTGACTTACCTTAATTTTGGTATTGTTCGCCTCTTCTGCGCAATAAACTTCCCGAACTTTGGAACCGCCGCCGCAGGTGAGGGAGCAGCCGCCCCATTCGCCAACGTGCCATCTAATAACAAAAGACAATACAATCCATAGCTCGGGACATGTTTACTTTCAAAAACTAAACACACAATGATTTAAAAGTCGGCCGAAACTTTATATTTATGCCGATAAGTTTACGAGGATAATATGGAAGTTAAATAGTCAATAGATGCAGCAATATGAACCGATAATAAAGTGGTTGACAAAATTTACAGTCGTAAATTACATTTTTAATGCCCGAGAACGATATTATCCTGTAAAATAAATCAAATAAATTTTCACGATTATTTTATATAATCGTAAAATTTTGGCTTTAACATCATATAAAACCCCAATAAAAACTAATTCAGCACAAACAATAAAATGTTTAAAATTAATTTTGGAATTCAGGTTTTAACTTGTTTTCAGAAAAAACAAAGAGAATTTATAAAAATTGTGTAGAAAAACCGTCGAGTCATAAAAAAGCCTCAAGCCTTTTAAGAACACAAAACTGGTTCAATTTTATTAACAATGGTTTACAGCAGTGGCGTATATAAGGGTAAGGGTAAGGCTTAATTAATTAATTACACATATTGTATGACCCAGGGGAAAGTTATGTGACCCAGGGAACAAGTCCAAAGAAATAAATTATAATATATTTTTGAAATATTGTTACATAACAATGTTACGTTATAGTTACATAAATGCATTATAATTTTTTTATTGTTGTTATGTAACTTTTTAATGGATTACAATGTAACATTGCCGTTATGAAAGTACAACATAACTGTAACGTAACATTAACCAAAATGTTATGCAACGATCATAATATGTAACATAACAGTTACATAACCTGACGGTTGCAAATAGGTTCCCATTTCCCGCTTTTTTTAAGTAACATTGTTACAATAACAATGTTACGTTGTCGTTACATAAATGCATTAAAATTGTATGTTGTTATTATATAACTTTTTAAAGGATTACAATGTTACATTGCCGTTATGAAAGTGAAACATAACTGTAACGTAACATTAACCAAAATGTTATGCAACAATCGTAATATGTAACATTACAGTTACATAACCTGATCATTGCAAATAGGTAATAATGTTACGTTGCCGTTACATTTTCGCAAGCCAAGTTATGTTACATAACATGGCCCTTACGGTTATGTAATATTGTTACGTTGCAACGTTATTATGCTCGACATGACTTTCCCATAATCAAGCAGACTGTTTGAAGTCCAATGACAAATGAACATGGTGCGCTGTCGTAACTTCGATTATATACCTAGCTGAGGTTAGTCACCCGAGCGAGATGTAAATTATGTGAATAAGTATAAGTTATTTATAAAACATAAATGTGATTGTTACGTAACAAACTTATTACAATAGTATTGCAATGTTGTTGTTACATTGCCAATTGGTAATTTTGTTATATTACAATAGTTTCACAATGTTACCTTGTTGTTACATTGCTTATTGGTAATTTTGTTACGTTACAAAAGTTTCACAATGTTACGTTATTGTTATATTGCTTATTGGTAATTTTGTTTTATTACAATAGTTTCACAATGTTACATTGTAGTTACATTGCTAAAGTGTAATTTTGTTATATTACACTTGTTTCACAATGTTACATTGTTGTTACATAGCTTATTGGTAATTTTGTTATATTACAATAGTTTCACAATGTTACATTGTTGTTACATTGCTTATTGGTAGTTTTGTTACATTACAATAGTTTCACAATTTTACATTGTTGTTACATTGCTAATGTGTAATTTTCTTATTTTACAATAGTTTCACAATGTTACATTGTTATTACATTGCTTATTGGTAATTTTGTTACATTACAATAGTTTTATAATGTTACATTGTTGTTACATTGCTAATGTGTAATTTTGTTATATTACAATAGTTTCACAATGTTACATTGTTGTTACATTTCTAATGTGTAATTTTGGTATATTACAATTGTTTCGCAATGTCACTTTGTTGTTAAATTGCTAATTGGTAATTTTGTTATGTTACAATAGTTTCACATTGTTACGTTATTGTTATATTGCTTATTGGTAATTTTGTTACTTTACAATAGTTTCACAATGTTACGTTATTGTTATATTGCCTATTGGTAATTGGTATTAATAAAAAAATCGAAAAAAAAACGTTTTTAATACGCATTACAAGAAAATTTCTTGAACTCACTTTTTTTAATGGATATTTTTTAAATACAGAAAATATATAAAAAATACTTATGTATGTAAGAAGGTTGAGAAATAGAACATAATTTTTGGGCTTATTTAAAAAATCCAACTGCCCACTTTTAGGTGTTAAATAACACCCCTAAATATACAAAATATGCAAAAAATACAGGTTTGTAGTTTATTTTTTTGTTTTTACTTTTTCTTCGTCTCTGTTCGGTCGACTCTCAACGGTGTGCTTAGTATGATTGACTGATTTTTACTTTTTGTTGTGTAGAACTGTCCAAATTAATTAAATTTACATAAGTATTCAAATGTACACAATTAATTAAATTTAACTTCCTCAAAATTATCGCGGATGTAAACTAAATGACATACTAAACTTCGGGTATTAGCTTTGGCCAATAATTAATTAAACATTGTCACAAACATTGTACAAAGTAATCTGTTGTGATAAATTTTCCAATTCTTAGTCCATTTGGCCATTAATTTTCAATCGGACAGTAACTGTTAAGCATACCAATAACTTTATTTAACAAAATCTATACAATACATTTTGGAGTAATGGGCTGACAGGTTTATGTAATGCAACACCTTACGAATATATTTACAAGATTAAATAAAATTAAATTTAATAAAAGTTCAGATTGATATATCCACCCGGATAAATCTAAATTAATCTATAAAACAGGACTTGGGTAATCAGTTATGATTGATAACTCCACAAGTCCATTAATATTTATTAATAAGCTTCGATTTGGTGCCACTCAGGTTTGATGTGACAGCTTTGGAGCTATTTAATCTCGCCTCAGCTTCAATATTTTTTATTCCGACATAAATTGGCATCTCTAAAGTAATTGCTGTCGGAATATTTTTTTTTATTTTAAATTTTTATGCTATTTTTTATTATGCGTTATAATCTTACCAAGTTTATTATTTTATCCAACACATGACAGTTATGACTGTCATTATTAATGTCATTTTATATAAGTAAACTATCAAATAACTCACTCTTCATATTTAAAGTAGTATTCTATTTATTTATTACTATTACAAGCAGAATTCACATTGATATTGAAAAACGGTTTATTCGAATTTGAAGTCATTGTAAAATTCGTTTGTTTATTGGAACCAGACGCTCCCATATCGGTACAGCTGCTGATAGTGCTGGAAGACGCCGACGCATTAGAACCTTGTTTTTTTTCTGCAATTTGTATTTTGTTATGCACCGATTCTTCTAGGTATCCTTCTGCTACCGTCGAGGACTTCCATCCTCCGTGACGCTTCAAAGTAGTCATGTTAGCCCCTGCATTGGCCAAAAGAGTCGCCGAAGACCTTCTCAGGCAGTGACCGGTGTAGAGCGCTGGTTCCTCCAAGTTCAAAAACATTGCAATTCTTAAAGGTATGTTCGACAACCTATTTATTTCCACACACTGGCTGCTACACCTCCCATTTTTGTAAAAAACAAAAAAGCGGCTAGAACTAGTATTCTTCAAAAACATGTATTTTTACACAAATTGATCGGGTTGACTGGAAATCCTTCTTCAAGTATGGTGAAACTTCTCAATCTCTTGGTTTTAGTGTCTGGCATAACTACGTGAAAATATTTCCCTTTGTCTTGAATATTTTCTATTTTCAAATTGACCAATTCATCGCATCTACAAGCACCGCTAATCCCCATTATCAAAGCCACTTTCATCAACAGGTACTCGTCGTCGGGAGCTTCGTTCAAAAACTTCTCTATTTAAGCTCGATCTAATGTCTTGAACTTCTTTGGTTTGTATCCCTGTGATTTGCTTTTCAAGAAGCTCGTTAGTTTGCCATATTTTGAAATGTCGATTTTTTTATAAAGGTGAATAGTCGAGCGAAGCATCGAGTATTTGGTCCATAGCGACGATGGGGCTAATTTTTATTGAAAATGTAAAAAATAAGCCAATAGAACATTTTCATCGATACCTTTTATCTTCCGTGAATTCATCCAAGACTCAAACATTTTGAACTCCTTGTCGTAAGCATGTCGGGACTTTTCTCGCAAAATCTGCATCGCTGCTTCTTCCGCTTCCGTAAGAATATCATCAGGAACGTAATTTTCATGGGTTTTCTCGATTTTCTATACGTTTTTTTCTTCAAAAAAGTGTCAAAATTTATTTAAACATTTGCTAACAATGTATCATACCCGTGGCAACCAAACAAACAACCTACTTTGACCAAAATGTAAAAAAGTCACTGTCAAGTCATTCTGACATTTATAGGGTACTGAGACGCAAGTAGCTTTGATTTGATTACAAAGCTTATTAATTATTATATCTTAAAAAAAACGATTTCTTCCAATTGTTGGATAATACATTGTATGCCACTCGTATGTTATGTTCCCTAAGTCACTTGAGAACTTATAAGTCTTTTTCGCCTGACTTATTTTCTACATAACACACTAGTACCTACCATAAATAACTATTCATGAAATAAAAAATATTTTTTTGGAATAATAATCTATCGCTATTTATGCATTATATAAAGTATAAAAGCAACTTCCCTTACCCTTTAGATTATCAAAAGAAAAAACGGAATTAAATCATAACCCGTGGAATCCCAATCGGAAAATTATTTCGTTCAGTCAGCTCCACAGACGCAGCCGAATCTCTGGAAGCATTTTAGCCGGTCGCATACCGCTTGTCTCATTTAGCCTGGCGTTGAGCCCCTCTCTCGAAACTAACTTAGCACCCACTTTTAATTGGTCGGGAATAATGGGCCGAGCTGCATACCGAACTACAACACAACTTTCTGGGAATTGGGATTGACATTTTCTGCTCGAGGGTTAAATTAGTTGGCGTTTGCTTTAACTC